CCTAAGACACTCGCCTATCTAGTTAGTCTCTCGGCGACACCCCTCCTCCTTCGCCACCACCAAAACCACCTCCATTACCACCACCGAAGCCTCCTCCTTCGCCGCCACCGGCACCTCCGCCATTTCCTCCTCCTAAACCCCCTCCTTCGCCGCCACCAAATTTGCCGCCGCTCGCGCCAGCGGGCGACGATTCAACGATTTATAAAATGATCTTTGAAATTTCAGGCGTAAAATTAGAAGAAATCGACCAAGCTGGATCTACCGGTCGAAGAACGAAACGTCAAGCTATCGTCCGAAGTTTAACTGCGTTAGTTTCTGACAAGTTTGGTCTCGATGATGATTACATTCGTGTGACGGAGACGAGAGCGGCGTCTTCGACGAGCCTCTTTTGTGAACTCACTGCTATTTTACACATTTGGTTTGGAAGTGTCAGTCAAACAACGGTGAATTTGTTCACGTACAATAACATCGCCATTATGGATACCTTGAAAAATTCCATGTCTGATTCTGGATTAACTGCTGTGCGTGTTTATCAAGTTCAAAAGATTGTTCTTGCATCTCCGCCGCCGGTTATTTTATCCCCGCCGCCGAGGAACATGCCGCCGCCCTTTGCTCCGAGTCCACCGCCTCTCCCACCTCTAAAAGTCTTCGTTGAGTACCCACCTTTACCGGCACCACCACCGCCACCATCGCCACCGCCTCTCATTATTCCACCACCGTTACCACCGCCACCGAGTCCATCGCCTCCGCCGGATATCATTCCTCCGGTGATCACGCTCCTGGGTTTGGCGCACGTGGAATTGGAACAGCTCGATGTGTACACGGATTCTGGGGCGACGTGTACGGATAATACGGATGGTACAATCACAGATATTACGGTCATTGGAGTTGAAAGTATTAATACGGATCTTCCATCCGCAGAACCCTACCTCATCACCTACGAGTGCTCGGACGTGCTCGGAAATAAAGGCACGGCTCAAAGAACAGTTCAGGTCAATTCGCCTTGCCCTGAATTTTCAAAGTTGTGCACAGAGTTAGACCCGATGGTGTGCGCCTGGGTCGATCCGGATACGAAAGTAGCGTATTGTATTCCACCTACGGATGATGCCGATGTCGTCGAAGAAAAGTTTGTCGCGGAAGAGTACGTGCCGCCGGAGAACGTGTATACACCAGTAATGACACTTTTGGAAGGCGCTTATACTTCTGAACTCGGCAAAGTTGAGCAAACCAACGCAGATGGTGAGCTAGAAACGATTCTTGTCATGCGAACATACGTTGAACAATTCGATGTGTACGTTGACCCTGGAGTTTTAGCCTGGGATAACGAAGACGGAAATCTCACGACGTCGGTCCGAAGTGAAGGTAAAGGTCTTGTGAAAACCGACACGGTGGTTTCGCGTCCATTTACTATTAAGTACAACGTCGACGATTTAGATGCGTTCAACCCCAAGAGTGCAACAGAAGTGCGTCGTCAGGTGTTCATTTTGAACCCATGTAGAGAAACGCTTCAAGAAGATGGAGTTACCGAAGAAATTTATTGCTCCAGAGAGGATTCGGGAGGATTGCAGCTTGTCGTCTGCAGTCGCAACGGAATTTGCGGTTTGGATCTCGTTGTAGAAGAAGAAGTTATCGTTGTCAAGGCACCAGAACCACCAAATATTACGCTTCTTGGACCGAAAAGAATGGAAATTAATCAATACGAAGTGTACAAAGTTTGCGGTGCTGTAAAGCTTGCCGGAGAATCTTGCGACGACGGCGCCGAGGCCGTCGGGGAATACGACGGTCTCATCACGGCTGCAAACAGTCCGGATAAAATATTTGCGTGCGGTTTAAAATTCGCTACGAAAGGAGTTTCCGGTTGCGGAATTGATACCCAGGTTGCAGATACGTACGATATCACATTCTATGCGATCGATTCTTCCGGTTTACAATCCGAGATTGTCACGAGGAAGCTGGTTGTTATTCCATCGTGTCCGCCGGGAGAAGTCGCGTGCATAAATACTCCCTGTTCTGTAGATGGCGTTTGTTTGGAGGATGTTGAACTGCAAAACATCCTCGACGCCGAGGAAGAAGCTCAAGTTGCGGATCCTCCCATTGCTAGCGTGATTACATACGAAGGTTTTGGCTCTTCCATTCAATTGAAGCAATATACGCCGTACTACAAGTGCGATACCGACCAAATTCCAACCGCAGATGTCCCGTGCGAACCCGGGGTTTTAGTCATGCAACCTCAGATTGGTGGTGCAGACCCAATTGATATATCAGAATTTACGCTTTCTTGCCCACCCTCTGATTGCTTAGAGTACGTTCCCGCCTGTCCGGCCCATTACTTCAAGAATAAAGGTGTTGTCGGTTGCCCCATCAATCCAAACGCCAATCCGGGTACTACGTTTGAAATGGAATTCATTGTTTTCGAGCAAGATGCGCAGTACCCAAGACAAGTATCCGTGAAACGTACGATTATAATCGCAGAACCGTGTCCAACTGGGCAGAACTTGTGCGTTGTTGATGGTGTGAGACAGTGCAGCGAGTTGGAATGCGACGTGCTTCTCATGTTGTCCGAAACGGTTGTTCAAGAAGACGTGACGCCGCCCGTGATTTATCTTCTCGGAGACGTTTCTTACGAAGTCACATATGGCGAGACTGACGACACAATCTTTTTGAATGCCTGCGCGCCGGACTCGGATCGCTCGAACTGTTTGATATATGCAATTGATGAGGAAGACGGAGACGTGTCGAGTTCGATTTTATCATCGCAGAATGTTGATTTGAGCACCGGAGCGTGTGGCATAAGCGACGTCACTCGAGGCTCCTGCATACCTGGAACGTATTCGTACACTTACACTGCTTCTGATTCTAATGCAAACGAGGCGAGCGTGGAGATCATCGTAAAGATTGTAGAGTTGGGTAAGATGAATACTACAATCACCGTTGGACCGTATTACAGCTTAGATTCCGCGAACGTTGCCGCCGGCAACTATTTAGAAGAAGGAAGCGATGCGCGAGCGGCGATTGAAGCTGGTCTTGCACAAACGCTCGTTGCAGCTGGCGCGGGATCTTTCGAAGCTTCAGATGTATCAGTTGTCGATGCAGAAGTTACGCGATCTTCTAGAACTACGTGGTCAATTTATATCACCTGTGAGATTTCTATTTCTACCGGGAAGGTGTCTTCGTCTGGTACTGCAAAGAGACGTCGTCGACGCTACCGCATCTTGTTGGAAGAAGAAAGTGATGCTTCTGCGATTGACGGCGCATTATCCGCAATCGAAGCTTCCTTAACTGCGGCGGCTTCTAGCGGGACGCTAGGATCGTCTCTAGAGGCAGCTTCGAGTGCGGCAGGCGTCGAGTCCGTACCGGTATCGCCAGAAGTGACGACGACGAAAGTTGCCGTGACGAAGACTGTCGATTTGGAAGCTTCCAAACTGACTGCCGTGAAGGCGACGGTTGAAAGCATCTCAGCTCGTCTTTCCGCGCTAAGCACTTCAGTCAGACGCGTACAAACGAATATTGACAATGATATCGATTTTGAAGGTTACCTGACCTTCAACGAAAAGGCTTGGGATGCGTCGATGGAGGCAAGTTTAGAAGAACATGCAGAGTTGACGGCGTACGCAAGTGAAGCTTTTCAATTACTTAATGCCACTGTTAGCGTGCAAACTTCGAATAACGACGCTTTGATAACGCTTCAAGAAAGAGCTTCTGAGCTGAAGATTGCGCTTGAGTCCACTCTTGCAACATTGAACGCGATGAATTCGGGAGATGGGAGCAGTGCTGAAGCCTCATGCGAAAAAACAAACTCTTGCGCGTGCCCCAAGCGCGACAAAGGAGAAATTTTGGTATATTTCAACGCAACGAAGACGTTCACGTACATACCAGACGATTTTCCTGCATCGCCACCACCACCTCCTCCGCCTTCGCCGCCGCCGTCTCCGCCTCCCGTGCCTCTGGGATGCACGGCAGAAGACATTTACACATACGGCGGTTGCGCGAGCGCCAAAGAACAGAAATCGAAAGGCCGTCGGCTCTTGAGAGATTTGAAGTACTCCGGAACAGACGTTGCTAACGTTGTCGTGGAAGAAGAGAGCGCGACAGGCGATGGCTCCGAAAATCTATATTTTGGTTACAATGTGAAGTATAAAGTCAAGAATGTAGTGAAGAAGGAGATAACTTACGTTCCAGAGAGGAAAATTCGCGGCAAAAATACTCTAATCGGTGGTGTTTTGATCACGCAGTACCGAAGCGAACGAGCATCTGGTTTCCAGTGCTCCAAAAGATTCCCGACATTGGCAGCGTCTTGTAGAGACTTCAATCGACCGAGCGTGGATCCATTTGGAGTTGACCCCATCTTCTCTAGGTCGTCCAGCCTCTTTGGAGGCGTGGATTTGGAGAAGAATATTGAGAAATATTACAATGTCTCAGAGCTTCCCGTTTCAGGCGTGCCTGCTGGGTTTCGCGTGCGATCTAGTGATTTGAAAAAAGGCAAGAGTGGATTTGCTGTATACATTGACATCATGATGAGTAAAAAGCATGCCAATCGTATGATTTCGTACATGCGAGAGGGCAATTTCATCGACTCTATGACGAAATCAATCATTGTGAATATTGCGGCGTATAATCCAGTGACTGTAAGATTCACAAACACTAGAGTGCATTTCGAATACTCGAAAGGTGGAAGCGTAGAAATTACGAGCGATACTCAAGCTCTCGCTGTTGGGATTTACGATGAATTCTCGGGGTCCTTACTTCTCGCCATGGAAGTGATTGTCTTGTGTTGGGTGATTTATTCAACCTACGCTTTAATCACAGATTCTATAATTGCAACTCGTTCGTCGGATTTTAAGGTGTTGAAAAAGCTTGAGAAAAACGTCGTTAAAATTCACTCCAACATTCTTGAAGTCATTAATCTGTGCTGTCAGTTGGCAGCGTTCATTATATGGTGGGTATTCCAAGCTCTTTATGCCTACAGATTCTCGCCGTCGAAACGATACGATGTGTACCAGATTGTGACGGAACCAAAAGCACATTTTATGATGCCTTTCAAGAACCAGACTGGGAACGACATAGAAGGAGGCGTCTTCATTAATGGAACCAGTTATAAATTACCTTCGAGACCGAAATATAATTGGGAACTGGCTGAGGATACGCGTGGATACGAAGATCTGTCGCTAATGTATGAAGAAATCAACACGATGAGTAATCTTCAAATTACCTATAATCTCATCACTGGCATTAATCTTTTGATGCTCTTCGTGCGTTTTCTGTTGCTCTTGAAGTTTCAACCTCGCCTGGCGATTATCACCAAGACTTTCGAAAGATCAACCGTCGATATCCTTCATTTCTTAGTTGTGTACATCATCTTCATGGCAATGGCGGCAGTTTTAGGTAATACGATGTTTGGTCACTCCATCGAGTGCGTGTCATCGGTGCCGAGCGCTTTTGAACTTTTGTTTTTGCTCTTGATTGGAGCGACATCATTCACGGAATTTGTGCCGGAGGGATTGGTCGGAAATGAATTTGATTTGTTCTTCCGAGTTTTCTATTGCGGACTCATCCCGGTGATGTTTCAATGGATTCTCTTTGAATTTTTTGTTGCCATTCTAGGTGATGCCTTTGGAGAAGAGAAGGAAATTTTGCACGAAATTGAAGCTACTGGAGATACGCTACCGAATGATTTACGTAAATTAGCAGAGTATAAAATGGCCACAGTTCGTAAAGAGTGGCCAAGGTTTGAAGACGTCCACGATTTGCTCAAAGCAGGGGTCAAATTACACGAGAAGCAACATCCAAGCAATGAAGAAGATTACCTCGAGATGTTGGACAGAAATGATGACATTAAGGAAGACGATTACGAAGGTAATCTCGAGATTGTCACGCACGTGGCGAAGAAGTTCATGAAGAAGGACCCATTCTACGTCGGAGGGCTGAAATATCAACCTGCTTCATTGGTCGCAACTCTTTTGCAAAACAAACCCAAATTTGAAGACACTCACGAAGAGTTGAATCAGAAGAGAGAAAAAATCCGAAGGATGAAGTTAGACATGTACCGCAAGCTTCAAAAGTGCGTGGATGAAGTCAGGGATGACATGGAAATTCACTTGCGTCATCAAAAATCACTAGTGCAGCGTTCGGAAAATTCCGCCGTTCGTTGGAAGCGAATCAAAGAACTCGCCGAGGATATTGAAATTGCGTTGGAGGACGTGACGAAGGAAACGTTTGATAAACAAAAAGTAAAGGCCAAGGTGAGAGAACTTCAAGCGAAGCGAAGAGAAGCAGAAAAAGAGTATGAGAAGAAATGGAAGGAGGCCATCGAAAAGGTCAAGCGGTACAGAAGTGCTCCTCCAAAATCAGTATTTGATGCAACTCGAGTGCTTCTGCGTTCCAAATCGAAAAGCTTGAAAATCCAGCAAGCGCTCAAATTCCAAAAGTTGTTTTCTCAACACGGTTCGAAGTCATCAAATCGCCGTCACAGGGAGAAACAAATAGAGGAAACGAGGAACGCCGAAGCCGAGTTGATCGCGCTCTCGACGATCAAAAAGCGAAAGTAGAGAAAAGAGAGATAAAGAGAAAACATTGAAACGAAAAATCTCTACTTTGCTTTTTTCATTTGTTTTTGTATTTCGTTTTTGCATTTTCTTTTAGAGCTTCTCCTTCTCTCTCCCTTTAAGAGTAAGGATTCTTTCTCCTTCTCGCAAATTGGGGTAATCGATCCGTAAATGGCAATACGCCCATGATTCTAGCAATTTTTATATTCTTTACTACCAATCTGTGCGTTTTTGCGCCCAAACCTGTCTGTCTTCGGGGCACGATTTTCCCAGTTTCCGAAACGAATCGCGTCGATAACATCTTCGCGTCTTTCCAGTCAATGGCTCGCGCGACAAACGCGTCTAGATCTTTCCCTTTCTTCAACACTCTTCGGGTTTTTTGACTCGCTGACGGTGCCACGGATGCGAATGAACCCTCGAGTTCGCTCGGATCGTACGTTTGGCCTGGATAATACACTCGAGTTTCGCTCACTCGCGTTGTTGGTGCTATCGGTGGAGGTGGCAAGAACGACGACGACGACGACGACGACGACGTCGACGTCGGGTGCCGCGCAGTCACCGACGATGCATCGGAAGCATCGCTCACTCCCTCCTCACTCTTTGCTGTCGTCGTCGTCGTCGTCGTCGCTGTCGTCGCGACGGAGCGTTCTCCTCCTTTCTTCTCTCCCGTAATTCTCGTAAATCTGCCGCTTTCGCATCTCGAAAAACTACCACCGCCGCCGCTGCTGCTGCTAAGACTCCTCCTCCTCCCCGTGATGCTCCCAAAAAGATGTCGCCAAACGCGGAGCACTGACGGAGAAGTCATCGTCACCTAATTATTTGTGTGTGTGTGTGTGTGTGTGTGTATATGTATATGTATATGCATATATATATTGTTCTTCTTCTTCGAGACTTGTTCTTCTTCTTCGAGACTTGTTCTTTTTCTTCGAGACTTGTTCTTCTTCTTCGAGACTTGTTCAGTTTTTTTCTCTCTCTCTCTCTCTCTCTCTCTCTCTCTCTCTCTAATTCTCTCTCTAAATCTCTCTCACCATCTTCCGCGCGCGCGCGCACCGTCGTCCGCATGCGATACGACTACCGAGAAGACAACGGAAGAAGAACGAGAGAAGGAGGAGGAGGAGGAGGAGGAGGAGGAAAAAAAATGGACCTGAACGAGGAGGAGGAGAACGAGGAGGAGGAGGAAGAAGAGGAAGAAGAAGACACAGAGAGAGGAGGAACTGGAAACTTTTCGAATCTAGATTTGAACACGCTGGCGTTTCTCTCAGAAGAGAACGCTGAAGTCGTCGAACGCGGAGCCGGGCATCGCAAATCTCTGTTGCGCTCTTCCTCCTCTTTTTCCTTGCTGAGCAGGCGACGGCAGTACCAACACCATCAATACCAACAATATCAACAAGACCAACAACAACAACAACAACACCATCAATACCAACAAGATTTTATTAACCAGTTTCAGCATAAAAAACTGATTAGACAAAATACGGAGAAAACCAACGTGCTCGCAACAGACTACGACTACTATCGCGACTACTATCGCGACTACTATCGCGACGATGACGACGAGAAGGAGGAGGAGGAGGACGAGGAAAATAAATATTTAGGCGGGAAAATGCAGCGCTTTCTTAAGAACAACGCGGGGCAGCTCTTGCAGAAAAAGAGGAGACGGAGGAAAAGGGACGTTTTGATCTTTGCATTCGTCTTTACCGCGGTTGCTTTCCTCGGTAACGTGTATAAAACGACGAGAATTTTATCTCTCACTGCGACGTCGTCGGCCGCTTCGTCGGCATCGATGTCGGCGTCTTCGCATTTCTCGTCTTTTTCTTCCTCTTCTTCTTCCGCGATTTTTCCTAGAGAAAAAAACAATAGCGTCGCCGCCGACGACGAGAGAGTAGAAGAGGAGGAGGAAGAACAAGAAGAACAAGAAGAACAAGAAGAACAAGAACAAAAAGGGGTGAGTAAAGAAGACGGAGAAACGAAACAAGAACGCATCGAACCAGCGCATGAGAAAAAGGAAAAATTTTCACTTTTGCCGACGGAGAGGATCACTCTGTTATCGCCGCAACGAATGGTTGAACTGAGCGAGCGAAAAAATGGTGACGTCGACGTCAACGACGCGTACAATTTTGTCTCGCTCGCAGAGAAGCGTTCGGCGATTGCAACGACACTAAAATGGGCATACGACGGATACATGAAAGTATTTCCAGCAGATGAGCTTGATCCGCTATCCGGCCATGGGTTGGAGTGGTTTCACGTGGCGCTGACTGCCATCGACGCGGTTGATACTTTCGCTCTCGTAGGCTTGGACGAAGAGTTTGAATTTGTAAAAGAATTTGTAAAATCAGGTAAACCGATCTTTACTTCCGCCGGTAGAAGTTCTGTTTTTGAATCGACCATTCGGATAATGGGCGGGTTTCTAGCGGCGCACCATTTAGAACAAAAAAGTAGCAAAATAGAAGCGACCACGACGACGGATAATAAAGGAGACGATTTTACTACGAATTTCTATTTTCTGGAAAAAGCTCGAGAGCTCGCGGATAAGTTGAAAGTTGCTTTCAACACCCCGACGGGTATTCCCAGAACTGATGTTGATTTTAGCACGGGTAAATCGCACGACGACGAAATAGGTACGAACGGTCTCGCTCAAGCGACGACGTTAACTTTAGAGTGGGAGTGTTTAGAAGCAACCCTGACGGAAGTAGTTTTAGACGAGACGGAGAAAAGAAAAAGAGGATTTACGAAGTACGGCGATTACGTGAGAAGAGCGAACGAGGCGGTCCATAAATTAGCTTCAGGCGCTGATTACGGGTTGCTTCCTGATAAAATTGGAGTGGAACACTTAAATGCGCACGGCATGGTGAAGCTCGGAGCAAATGGGGATTCTTACTACGAGTACTTGTTGAAAAGCTGGATCCACCGCGGGAAACCAAAAGGAGGGGAAAAAGAGTACGTCCGAGCGATGGACGGAATATTTTTACGCCTCGTTCAAAGAACGCAGAATCACTTACAAAATACCAGTGGTTTGATATATGTCGGCGAGATGGCATATCCGTCCTCTCACGGCTCGAGATTTGAAAAGAAAATGGATCATTTGGTGTGTTTTTTACCAGGAATTTTGGCGCTCGGACATTTGCACGGCGTCGGAAAGGAATTTGGCTCGAGCGCGGCGAGCGAAGAAGAGAAGGAAGAATTCCGCGCAAAAGTGGATTTATTGCGTCTCGATAAAAACGAATCTTCACACTTAGCCCTCGCTAAAGAGCTCATGCGAACGTGCGTGGCCATGTACGAGAGAATGCCGCTCGGGTTACACCCTGAAATTGCAAAGTTTGACGAAGACGGTAATAACGTCGTGAAGTGTTTCGGCGGAGATTTATGCGTCAGCGCGAATGACGCGCACTCAATTCTTCGGCCAGAAACTGTTGAATCTTTGTTTGTACTTCACAGAGTCACGAAAGACGAATCTTTCCGTCGTCAAGGATGGAGAATGTGGCAAAACTGGGAACGTTACTCTCGAGTAGATACCGGGGGGTACGCCAGTCTCGCCAGCGTCTTGGAAAATCCACCGGGGAGGAAGAAAGGGAAACAAGAGAGCTTCTTCCTCTCGGAAACGTTAAAGTATCTCTTTCTGCTTTTCAGCGACGACATAGTAGTACCTTTGGAGTGTTTCGTGTTCAACACGGAAGGTCATCCGTTACCGATTATGCATCGTCAAAAGTCGTTGCGCGAGTGCGTAGAAAGAGAGAGAGAGAGAGAAAAAGAGAGAGTTTTTAATAGCGTTTGAACCAGAAGCACTCGTCTTCGGCATGGAAACTTTAGATAATTACACAACAGATCTATATAAAAGTTTTGCACTAAACGCCTGCGCTTCTACACCTATCTATAACTCTCTCTCGAGGAAGCGCTTAAAAAAAACCACAGAGGCATGACAGGGAAACGCGTCGCGCGTAAATAATTCATTTTTGATTTGTGATGTTGGAGTGTTCTTTCAACTCTCTTTCTTTTTTAACAAAAAAACTAAAACAACGCAAATCACTACGACGCTGCGAGAGCGATGGTAAGAGTTAAGCACGAGAGCCACCATATCGTCCATTTTGGAAACGGCGGAGCAACGGCGTCGCTGCTTGTAAGGGTCATCGGAATCGTCAAAGGAGGGGGGGGATGAGGGGGAGGAGACGGAGGCGATGGATATTGCGGAATGACGACCGATACGCTCGCTTTTGCCGTTTCGTACTTCGCCGACATTGTCGCGCTACTCTGCAAATCCCGTATCAAAGTCGACTCCTCCATCGTTTCGGCATCTCTGCCTAAATCGAAGATGGCTTCCAAAAGCTCTGGATCTTGCAAAACTTTGACTGCCGCCGCGCAAATTTTTGAAATAGCTTCGCCGCTGTAAGATTCTGAAGTTGTATTCGTGGAGAGCAAATACGACGAGGCTGATGCAGACGCTTGGGCGACAGCATTCTTCGCAGCAGTATCCACGCGAACATCCGGACTCGTCCGGGAAACGACGGATACGGCCGAAGATATGATCGAGCTAATATCGGACGAATCACTCACGTTCAATCTCTTCGTATACTTTTTTAAAAGTATTCTTCTCTTTTTGCGTAACACGAGGTTCGTGTCACCGATACGTTTTGCAAACGCCAAAAGAGTCGCCGCTTCTGCTTCTGCTTTGCTCGAGGTCCCGGCGCCATACAATAAAGAAGAAATCATAGAAATAGCATTTGCCACGTTAACCGAGGCGTACGCAACCGTTGCTATTGAATCGTCGCCATCGATGACGAGCTTTTGAAAGGGATCGATTTTGAATATTAAATCCGAGTCGATACTTTCCTCGGCTAAACCTATGGATTCCAAAATGAGCTCTGCGGCTCTTTCGACCGTGATCAAATAAACACTCGCAATTTCGATCGCTACTGTTGTCAATGGAGTGATAACACTCGCATCCATAGGAGCCCGAAGCGTGAGCATGCCAGGTTTTGCATTCGTGAAGGAATCTACGCAACCTTCATTGGAATCTGTTTTTATGATTACTTTGGGTAGCTTAGCTGAGTCGCGAGCGATTATGTTCAACGTAAAGCCGCCGAGAGAATCTGTTATGTCTGATGGTTCGAAGTCGTCGTTTTCGGTGTCTTTCAACATCTCGTCGTTGTCGTAGTCGAGAAATACGGAGCAATATTGGAGGTATCCCGGAAATATGGCTCTGGACGTAATCGGTTCAGGTGGGGGCGGCGGAAAAGGAGGCGGCGGGCTCGGCGGCCACTGGGCGATGGGCGGCGGTGGAGGGGGACTCGGTGGCGGTAACGGGGGTGGAATCGGTGGTAGTAACGGCGGCGGAGAAGGCGGTGGAGAAGGTGGAGAAGGTTTTGGAGGTGGCGTGGGAGGCGAGAAAGGGGGAGGACTTGGTGGAGATGGCAAAGGGGGCGGTGGTGAAGGTGGAAGTGGCGATGGAGGAGGTATAGGAGGTGGCAACGGCGGCGGTGAAGGGAGCGGTGGCGAAGGTGGAGGAGGGGAAGGTGGAGGTGAAGGAGGAGGAGACGGCGGCGGCGAAGGAGGTGGCGGCGAAGGAGGCGGGGAGGGAGGAGGAAACGGAGGTGGATTCGGCGGTGGCGAAGGAGGCGGCGAAGGCGGTGGTGGACTTGGAGGTGGTGGATTTGGAGGTGGTGATGGAAAAGGCGAAGGAGGAGGCGAGGGGGAAGGACTCGGTGGCGGGCTCGGTGGCGGGCTCGGCGAAGGTGCAGGCGGAGGAGAAGGAGGAGGCGACGGCGGGGGCAAAGGTGGCGGACTCGGCGATGGAGGTGAAGGAGGAGGAGGTCTAGGCGGCGGTTTCGGAGGGGGCGATGGAAGCGGTGGCAAGGGAGGCGGAAAAGGTGGTGGTGATGGATTCGGCGGTGGCGGCGGACACGCCGGCGTACTTGGATCTGAACACGGCGCGGCTGGAGGCGACGGTGGCGGCGACGGCGGCGGCGGAGAGGGCGGAGGAACGGGTGGTGGTGACGGTGGTGGTGACGGTGGAGGGGAAGGAGGAGGAGACGGTGGAGGACTTGGGGGAGGTGATGGTGGTGGTGACGGAGGAGGAGACGGTGGAGGGGATGGGGGAGGTAACGGCGGAGGAGAAGGAGAGGGGCTAGGAGGCGGAGAAGGAGGTGGCAATGGTGGTGGGCTAGGAGGAGGCAATGGTGGAGGTAACGGTGGAGGAGAAGGCGGAGGAGAAGGCGGAGGTCTTGGCGGTGGCGCAGGCGGAGGCGTCGGAGGAGGAGAAGGTGGGGAGCTTGGAGGAGGCGACGGCGGCGGAGAAGGAGGAGGCAATGGTGGACTCGGCGGAGGCGACGGGGGCGGATTCGGCGGTAGCGAAGGAGGTGGCGAAGGAGGTGGATTTGGCGGAGGTAACGGGGGCGGATTCGGCGGTGGTCTTGGTGGCGGAGAAGGAGGAGGATTCGGAGGCGGTGGAGACGGAGGGGGAGAAGGTGGCGGTGTTGGCGGCGGTGGGCTTGGAGGAGAAGGTGTCAAACATTGCTCGAGCTCGTCTTCGGATGCAGAAATAATAGAAAAGTCTCCAGTACCAACGAGTGCATACTTTTGAACTCCTTTTGTTAGAAGCTCTCCGTATCGCGATACTCGAACAAAGTATCTTTCCCCAACTTCTGGATTACTCCAAACGATTTTCTCCACGTTGTTTGTTCGATCGTTACCGATGAGCGGCGCTACGAATTGACTCGTTCCGGTATCGTAGTTCCACTTATAGAGCTGCAAATCCAAATCGTTGTTTAAAATCGATCCTGTTGTTACGTCGTCGCTAGGGTCAGACCACGCGAGCGTGAAAGTAAGAGCCCATATATCTTCTTGAAGAGCAGAGTTTGTCACTTCAACGCACGCGCCCTCGTAGGACGGAACGACGGTTTCATCATTGTCTGTCAGCACACTCTCGCGCGCGTAAAAAGTTGGCGGCGAGTCGTCATTTCCTTCTACTCTCAGACTCTTGATTAAATCAACACGTCCCCAGCCTTGCTTGAACGATGGAGCTTGTTCCAAAGGAAATCCAGACTCTATATCCATACCTCTCATACTTTGCGCTCCGTTGATAATAACCGCTCGAAGTAATGCCGCCGAAGGATTAGATATAGTTGTGTTTGCAACAACTCCTCCGTTTGTAAAGCCGTCTTGTAGATATTGACGAACTAAAGCGACCGATCCAGCAACTACCGGCGTTGCCATCGATGTCCCAGATAAAATCGTCGTAGAACTTGAATCATCGCTCGAATCGCACTCGGTAACCTTTGACGCGCTTCGAATAAAGGTACCAGGTGCAGATACATCTGGCTTGATGCGATAATCCGGATACGTTGGGCCGGGTGATGAAAAGTACGCCATGTGCTCTTCCGGTGCGTCGCCATCGTACGTAAACGCGGTGAAACTTACGCTCCCAGAAATCGTGGATAGGAAATAAGCATCTTTAAAGCTTGTAAATACTACTGGAATCGTTAAATCTGTTATAGATCCTCGCGGTAAATTGTACCAACTCTTGTCCGTAGGAAAGAGATACGGATAATTTTCAACAAAATATAGAATCACGGCGATGGCTCCCACGTCTTGGGCCTGCTTCGCTTTATACGCCGAGTTACACGTGATTATGTTATTTTCCATCGCTATCAAAGCAAGTTTTCCAGCTAGAGTCGCTGCAGATGCTACGTCCAGATAATCTCGACACGGCGGGTCGTAAGAATACAGAGGTGGTGGCGTTGGCGGTGGAGGTGACGGCGGAGATGACGGAGTTCCTGCATAGGGTGGTGGCAACGGAGGGGGCGACGGTGGTGGTGAGGGATCGGAAGGCGACGGTGGCGGTGGTGGCGATGGTGGTGGCGACGGCGGATGCGGCGGATACGTAAACGTCGCTTCGGCGACTGGTACCGATTGGACGCTCGTGAAGCGCGAATCAGAAACCTGATTTATACCATAGCGCCACAAAACGCCCGCACCGCGATAGTGTTCGTAATTTTTATCATCGACGGTCACAATCACACCTTGGGCGTAGTAATTATGATAATACTCTATATTTTCATAGAACAAGTGTCTGGGAGAAAGCGAAGCTCCGACAGACAAAATGTTCTTCGCGCCCGCCGGAGAACCGACACCAAATCCTTCATAAAAATACAGACCATCATTTCCTGCGGCTTGAAGCGGTAAGAAATCATTTTTCTCGTATATGAAGGAGTCCATCTCTTGTTCCCAAGTGCTGTAGGTTCCGTATTGCTCGCTAGCTCCCCACGAGTCTGAGTGTATTCGAGCGTTCACATCGTACGCGTACGCGTAGTAATCGTCTCCCATACTATCTCCGAGTGTCAAATACCCGAGCGCGGAGTTTTCGATATCCGTGAAAGCAATCCGTGCTCGTGGCGCCATACCATCGTCAATGAATCCCGTTATGTTTGATTCTCCGGCAATGGTACCAACGACGTGCGATCCGTGTCCGTCACCATCCACGGAATCACCAAGGGAAGAGCGGTACATCGCTAACTTTTCTTGCTCACTGATGTAGCAACTACCAATCGATACACCCGTATCTCCCACGCCTACCACCTGATTTTCACCCCTAATACCAGCGTTCCAAAGCGGTGACGCCATCAACGAAGCCGAGTCCGAAGAGCTCGTCGTCAAATCAAAAATCCCATGCTGCACAACAACTCTCGCGTATACGTTGTGTAGTACCGGACGTTTCTGAACCGAGACGCTTGAAACGGCCGCTTGCTGCGACAAATAACGAACGATATCACCCGTAGCGATGAAATCGCTCACATGCATCTTCAGCGAGTTTTTCGAGGTGACTTTAACGAGAGCGGGAGAAACTCCCAAATCGCGGCTAAATTTATATTTCGCGGCTGTCGAGAAAGCTAATGCGTCTTTTTCCTCCTCCTCCTCCTCCTCCTCCTCTTCTTCTTCTGAAAAAAATGCATCTCCAGAAACTAAAGTGACGTAGAGAGCAAGATGTCCTTTTCGATTTGTTTCAAACTCGCTTAATATCTTATTCTCTTCACTTCGAGTGTATGCCTTCATTGTGCGTCGTCTATTTTGGGAAAGCCGCTTCATATTTTCTGCTAGTTTTGCTAAGTGTGCCGCAGTTTTCCGTATCTTCAACGATGGCGTAATTAAAACTACGCCCACGATTCGATCGTCGCTTAACGACGAGGTGAGATGAGACGCCGCGCACGGGGTTCCAAGTACGGAAAATGAATTAGGAGGCATGCGTTTTAAGACGTACGAATCCTCTTCGCCTTTACACGTTGATCTCGCCGCTTCTTTCAGCGCTACTTCAATCGACCTGCGTCCGTGCGTGCCATTATAGACAACGATAAACTCTCTCGCTTCGTCGTCTTGAATTTCCGCGTTCGTCCATCTGAAGCTGTTCTTTTGCTTTAATCGCGCGTATCTTTGTTTCTTGCGTTCTTCATTTTTTTTTGAAAAGAACGACGGGGAGTCGTCGACGACGTCGTCGCCGACACTCAACAAACGCGACCATTTTCTTGTTCGGTTTCTGTTCGTTGTTTCTGAATCGGCACGAACTCCAGCAAAATCGCTCTTCCTATCTTTCATCTCCTTTTTCTGTGTGAAAGTATCTCCTGACGCAAAAAAAACTCGAAATCCAATCCCACCACTCACACGTCTCTCTTCGATTGTTCTGGCGCCTTGATTCAAACTGCCGTCTAATTCTTTGTCTCCGAGAACAGTTTCTCGCCGAATAGAATCTCGTTTCCTCTTCTCGCGCGCTGTCGACATAACGTCGTCGTTTTGAATCGTTCTTTGTGCATCTGAAAATGGCACGGCACAACGACCCAGAAGAAAGAATACGATGTAAAAAGAAAACAAAGGTATAATAAGGCGGCGGCGGCCGCGGCGAAGACGACGACGACGACGACGACGACGACGGTGGCAGCGTGTTTGGTACGTTGCGTATAAATTCATACTAACAATATTGACGCGTCTTTCCGATTTCTCTCCCTCATCCTTCTCGCGTTTTCGAAAAAATGAAAAATGAATTACACGCGAACGCTTCATCAGAGCGAGCAGGCAGGACCCGACCCTTGCCTGAGAAAATCCTCCGGCAGGTTACATAATATATTTTTTTTCGGCTGTGTGACTCCGCCATAATTATTTGATTTGATCAAGAGAGCCTACTAAACGCACGCGTTGAAACACTCTCTTTTCTCACTCTATCTTTCCTTCAATCGTTCGATCTCCTTCTCAACACGGTGTTCTGTATACTTCTTCTCCCGTTATCGACGAAAAAGCAGAGAAGACAATTTTGTGAACGATTTCAACAAACAAGGTTAAACGCGTCACCCTTTTAAAAAACGTTCTTCTTTTCTGTTCGTGCGATTGCTCCTCCTCTCAACGCAATCAAAGTGCGAAAGAACGGGACGGACAAATAGATACTCTAAACAAGCACCCGCAGAAGAGCGATCACGATGAAGCTTTCGACGCTCATCGTTGTGTTATTCTTCTCGTTCTTCTTCTTGTCGTTCAGTTTTGTCTCGGCGGAGCACGCACTCGAAAAAGATGAGGGCAAAACGAAAGAGAAAGAAGAGTCTTGGCAAGATAAAGATCGAGACGAGTACGGATTGCCGATTTGCCACGACGAAACCTTGCGAAGATCTCCGCTGAGGAGAGCTACTGGTGGTGAAATTGCTGCGAAGATGTCGCAAGCGAAGCGATACGTGGACGGGCACGTTCGCGTAAGCCGAGACGGAAAGGAAATGCACGTTGACGTGAAAGTTATCAGAGTCAAAGGTAATTTGAACGTAGGGAGGAATCTGTATTTCGAAGGTGAAGTCAAAGTTGGAGGATCTGTGATTATGGGTAACAAAAAGGACGCTTTGAAGGAAATAAAGCGTTTGGAGAATGAAATCGAAGAGATGACGGCGATTGTGGAGGAGTTGGAAGGCCACCACACGTTGACCGATGAAAACTTTCACACGGCTATTGAGAATTGTTTGACGATGAACAACGGAGAACACCGAAAAGACGGCGCGTGCGAGGCTTTACATTACGGTGAACGCATCGGCGATTGGGACGTCGGTAAAGTTTCAAATTTTACGCGAGCGTTTACGAATCGAGAAGAATTCAACGCGGACTTGTCGAGATGGAACACGTCGAGCGCTAAGAGTTTCGACGGAATGTTTGAAAACGCGGTGGCATTTAACGGAGACGTGTCAAAGTGGAAATCAAAATCGGCGACGACGAAAGACGAAATGTTTCGAAACGCGGTTGCGTTTAAAAGTAAATATTTGTGCGCAAAGTACACCGACGCGCCTGAAGATTTATCTTCGTGCGCGGACGTTTCTACCGACTGGGTCGCGCCGAGTCCGCCGCCGAGCGCGCCGAGTCCGCCGCCGGAACCGACCGCATCGCCGCCACCAAAACCGACCGAACCCGTTTCACCTTCGGGACTGGCCGAGGCGCCGCTTCCGCCACCTGAACCGCCGAGTCCTCCGTCGCCGCCGCCGGTGCAAACTGAGATATTGCAACCGGCTGGTACAAAAGAACTTAATCAAAGGTTCATGCCGAAAGTCAATGGATGGTACGAGTTACTACCGGAAGACTATTCAGGAGCCGCACAAATTGCATACGTCGATTACGACGGGTCGGCGTCTGGAATCGAGGACGAAGGACCTTGGATTCAAGTCAAATACGCGAAGAATAAATTCTCGCGCGCGCGTCCATGGAGCGCTTTGGGAAAAGGCGATCCGTCTCGGGAAGACGGTACGGCTTATTCTGGGAACTTTGAGTTTGCGCAAGACGAGAACTGGATCGATAAGTTGTTGGATCAAGCCGTGGACGTGCGTCAAAGATTTGTATCCTGGGGAAAACGTTCGGTTGGTTGGAATTACGAGTACGACTACCAAGCGGCGCGCGGATTTAACGACGTCAATTACACGCGTTGGGGGAGCGGTCTCGCTTTAGTCGGTGGCGCTACGGGGCCACCGACTGGATTTTCCCACGGCACGTCAGGATTAAACGAATTTCTTTCCCCTGCCTCTCTCGAAATCGATCCTACGAATTTGAACGACGACGCGTGGAGGAAGAGCGTTATATATTTCCGAAACACCGGGGATGAGAAGATACTTCCAGTAAGAGGTATTTGGAACGCAGATGTTGATCATCCTGGCGAGGGCAGATATTTCCCTCTCGCGCGTCCAGACGTTGGCGACGAAGTCGACGAGAACGGCACGTTTACCGAGTCGAGCGATACGTGGGTGAAAATTGTGCAAAATTTTTTGCCGCCTTTGCCTCCGCCGCCGAGTCCGCCTCCGCCGCCGAGCCCACCGAGCCCACCGCCTTTGCCACCACCGCCGCCGAGTCCGCCGCCGTTGCCGCCTCTGACAGATGCGGCATTCTCAGATGCCATTTTGGCGTGTCTCGGTGTGGATCCAAAATACGGAAACTGCCCAGATTTAGAATACGGCACGATTACGGAATGGTTCGTCCAAGACGTGACGAATTTTGCGAGCGCATTCAAAGGCGCGAGTCAGTTCATCGGCAACATTTCGAAATGGAACACCGCGTCGGCAACATCTATGATATCTATGTTTTCTTCCGCTTCTGCGTTCAACCAAGACATTGGGGATTGGAACACAGAGAAAGTGACTACTATGTATGGAATGTTTTCTGAAGCTTCTGCGTTCAACCAAAACATTGGGAGTTGGAACACGGCGCAAGTGACTAGTATGGAATATATGTTTTATTCCGCTTCTGCGTTCAACCAAAACATTGGGAGTTGGAACACAGAAAAAGTGACGACTATGAGAGCTATGTTTCAATACCATTCAGCGTTCAACCAAGACATTGGGAGTTGGAACACAGCGCAAGTGACTGATATGAGATATATGTTTAATGAGGCTTCTGCGTTCAACCACGACATTGGGAGTTGGAATACATCGCAAGTGACTGATATGAGATATATGTTTTCTTCCGCTTCTGCGTTCAACCAAGACATTGGGGGTTGGAACACAGCGCAAGTGACTACTATGGAGCAAATGCTTCGTTCCGCTTCTTCGTTCAATCACTACATTGGCGATTGGAATACTTCGAAAGTGACAACGTTTTTATTTATTTTTTATAGTGCGACTGCGTTTAACGCCAAGTACACGTGCACAACCTTGTCTGTGCATGTAGATCCTGCGACATGTACTAAGGTTCGTTCGGATTACCAATACCCGTCGCTTTCGGATGAAGTTTTCCATTCTTCAATTGCAGCTTGTCTCGCAACGGCTCCGGAAGACGGTAATTGCGAGCATTCGCAATACGGCGTCATTTCTGGCTGGGACGTCTCAAGCGTAACGGACTTTGACGACGCGTTCAAGGGTCGAGCGACGTTTAACGGCGATTTATCCAAGTGGAAGACAACTTCTGCGCTATCGATGAACGGGACGTTTTCTGGAGCTTCTTTGTTCAACTCAAACATCGGGAGCTGGGACGTTTCGAGCGTGGAGAATATGCATCAAATGTTTTTTTCCGCTTCTGCGTTTAATCAGTACATCGGTGATTGGAACACGACTTTGCTGACTTTGTACGATTCTATCTTTGAGTCGGCGACGGCGTTCCAAGCGAAGTACGAGTGCGCGAGTTCCACTTCGTTTTCGATAAAACCGACAGAGTGCAAAAGTGTTCGCACCGAGTGGGACGCACCTTCGCCTCCGCCTCCTCCGAGTCCACCGCCACCACTTTTACCATTGACGGATGCTGTATTCTCGGATGCTATGAAGGCATGTTTGGAAACAGATTCGGTGAATGGTAATTGTACGGATTCAGAATACGGCTCTGTGTTGGAATGGGATGTTTCCGCCGTGACGAATTTTGCGAGCGCATTCAAAGGCGCGAGTCAGTTCATCGGCAACATTTCGAAATGGAACACCGCGTCGGCAACATCTATGATATCTATGTTTTCTTCCGCTTCTGCGTTCAACCAAGACATTGGGGATTGGAACACAGAGAAAGTGACTACTATGTATGGAATGTTATCTGAAGCTTCTGCGTTCAACCAAAACATTGGGAGTTGGAACACGGCGCAAGTGACTAGTATGGAATATATGTTTTATTCCGCTTCTGCGTTCAACCAAAACATTGGGAGTTGGAACACAGAAAAAGTGACGACTATGAGAGCTATGTTTCAATACCATTCAGCGTTCAACCAAGACATTGGGAGTTGGAACACAGCGCAAGTGACTGATATGAGATATATGTTTAATGAGGCTTCTGCGTTCAACCACGACATTGGGAGTTGGAATACATCGCAAGTGACTGATATGAGATATATGTTTTCTTCCGCTTCTGCGTTCAACCAAGACATTGGGGGTTGGAACACAGCGCAAGTGACTACTATGGAGCAAATGCTTCGTTCCGCTTCTTCGTTCAATCACTACATTGGCGATTGGAATACTTCGAAAGTGACAACGTTTTTATTTATTTTTTATAGTGCGACTGCGTTTAACGCCAAGTACACGTGCACAACCTTGTCTGTGCATGTAGATCCTGCGACATGTAAAACGATTCGCTCGGATTGGGTCGCGCCGAGCCCGCCGCCTCCAAGTCCGCTGCCACCGCCGAGTCCGCCGCCTTCTCCCTCTCCTCCTCCTCCTCCTCCGCCGCCTCCTCTAACTCCAATACCGTCGGCGAGTTGGCACGATTTCGTTTTTGTGTGTTTAGAAGAAGCACCGAAAACCGGCGAGTGCACGGATTGGGCTTCTGGTAATAATTACGGCACGATGCCGAATTGGGATACGAGTTTGGTGACGGATATGAATGGATATATTATAGATGGTGCTGTTTTTCAAGGCTTTGGCGCTAAAACTTTATTCGACGGCGACATTTCGAAGTGGGACACCGGGAAAGTGACTAATATGAAGGATATGTTTTATGAAGCTACTTCCTTCAACCAAGACATTGGGAATTGGAACACAGCGCGAGTGACTACTATGCAATATATGTTTTCTTACGCTTCTGCGTTCAACCAAGACATTGGGAGTTGGAACACAGAAAAAGTGACTAATATGCAATATATGTTTTATCAAGCTTCTACGTTCAACCACGACATTTCTTCGTGGACTGGATCCGCAGCGACGTCGGCGCAAAGTTCTATGTTTTCCGGCGCGACTGCGTTTCAAGCGAAATTTAAGTGCACCAACGCCGACACCGGACCAGCGAGTTCGTGTGCGATTCCAAATTACGATCAATATTATATCCTTGCTCAAAACACGTGCGAGTCGGAAGGTTACGTGACCATCCTAAATCTGAACCAGTGCCGCATCGCCGGACGCGCATTGTCCGGCGACGCTTCGAAGGGGTTTGCAGCCGATCAGCCGGCCAATGGATACGGTGATACCGACAGCGGCCGCACTGGTGGCTGCACTTTCCACAGTGGCAACGTGAACAACAATCTTCAGTTCTTTCCATTTGCTACTGGACCGTGTGGGACAGCAACTTTTCATTGCGTGTGCGGAGCGTTCGCACCAATTCCTGACGCGAGTTGGCATACATTTGTGGATGCGTGTTTGGCCGAAGCTCCGGTTACTGGGGAGTGCACTGCTTGGGCATCTGGTAATAATTACGGCACGATGCCAAACTGGGATACGAGTTCGGTGACCGACATGAGCAGTACGTTTGAAGGTTATGCTCAATTCGACGGCGACGTATCGCGTTGGGACACGTCTTCGGTGGCCACTATGACTTTTATGTTTAAAGGCGCATCTTTGTTCAACCAAGACATTGGGAATTGGAACACAGGGGAAGTGACGAATATGAATGGAATGTTTCGTTCCGCTTCTGCGTTCAACCAAGACATTGGGGGTTGGAATACAGAGAAAGTGACTAGTATGGAATATATGTTTCATTACGCTTCTGCGTTCAACCAAG